AACCTACTGGCGATGGCCTCCAACCTCAGAGCGATGGCCTCCAACCTCATAGCGATGGCCTCCAACCTACTAGCGATTTGCCGGGGTGATCCCAAATTCCGGATCAGCTGAGGTGGGTGAAGTCCGTGTGAACTGTGGGCGCTTGGGGAACTACTCCAGCGGCTGGGCGGTCGGTTGAAGGAAGTGGTGATCGAACGCGTCTACTGGGCGTCGGTGTCCAAAGCAGACGTCTGTGAGAAGTTGGTGGAGTTATTTTTGCTGGGCTGGCGCATTGAAGTGACCGGGAGCGGGTTAGAAGTCATTTTCTACCGTGTTACTTTTCTTTGCAGATCCCAGGTCACATCTCTTAAGCTTAGGTTGGAGGCCATTGTTACTATAGTAACACGAAGCTACTGGGGGCTCCTGGCAATACTACTAGTAGGATTCTTACTACTCGTAAGAAGAAGCTTTGGTAGAGAAGACGTCGTCGTTTGGGGCGAACGTTTTGGGCGTCCGAAGGGTCCGGTTCCAACACGAAGAGATGGGGAAGATGGGGAACTGTGCTGATGGGATGGTCAACTGTCAGATGAGATCGGATGGTCAACGGGGTTTGCTTCATTTGAAGATAGCTTGTGGGGGGGGTTGAAGCCTTAGATGCACAGAACCACAATCCTTCAGATTCTGGTGTCCCACATTGTCACTGTCTTCTTTCCTTGGTGACCGTCCCCAGGTGTGGAGAACCTTTGTGCACCCAAGGCCTGTTCAGCAGGCGCTTTTTCCGAAGAGAGAAAGTGGTGCGTTCCAGGGTGAGAGTGGCTTTTCCGCAGGCAGATAGCGCTTTTGGTGGCAACATGAATGAATCGATGACTAGACAGCCCCCAGTCTCACCGCTACGCAATGAAGATCCAATTACCATTGTTCATGACCAGTGGGCTCAGTGGGCAACTGGGGTTCCACCAGGAACAGGTAAATTTTATACCCAAACACTCCATGTATGGAAAGTTATGGAATAGTTATTTCCATACATTGACCCCTGAAATGACGTCCATGCGAGTATAATATATGCCATATACATGGAGTGTTTGGGATAAAGACGTGTTTTCTCCATCTCACCGAACCTTCAATCGTTATCATCAGAGGTTAAACAGTTAAACCCCATCAAAGCATATCAAAGCTCCAAAGTCACACCCATACCCTTTTTTTTCATCCACTTCTACATCACCTTTGGAAGCACCGAAGCCGAGAAAAGCGACCACTCTTCACACGGAAGCCAAAGCGCCGTGGCCGCGAACTCGTTCGCGCGTCGTTCGCGCTGCTCCAGGCGTCACGCTGCCCGTGACCTTTCGAAGTCTCAGCAGCTCGGTGACGACGCTGGGAGCCTCGGTGCGTGTTGCGGCTCGGTGGGACGACTTGGTATGATGCGACTTGGATGTATAGGTATAGTGGTAAAGCGACTGCCGGGTATTGTCCCGTATATATGTTACTAATTAGTGGCGATGCCACTTGTTACTAGGCAGTATTACGGGTAGGAATGCCTCAGTGAGTGCAGAATAGAATGTGGAAAATCCAAAAGACTTTGAACTGGGTTAGTAGGACACTCGAGATTGCTTGCCTGCAGCACGACAGACTACAAGACAGTCAAACCTCGACAAGCCGTTACCAGGCCTGGCCTGGTGGCCATAGCCTCCAACCTAATAGCGATGGCCTCCAACCTACTACGCTTGAAGAGACGTCGCAGGGATCGAAGACGATTGGTGTGAGGTCGATTGGCCTGGCTCACTTGCAACAAGAGACCACCTCCTGCAGTGCCATCAATGAGGCCGGTGGGAAGCCATTGGGGGTGAGGACGGGAAGGGATCACGAGGATCCTGAGCTCCAGCACGCCATATTTTCCCAGGATTTTCTGGGCCTCTCATGCGGACTAGTGACAAAATATGTTTCTGGGAGAATCAGAACTGCCTTCTGAAACCTAGGGCCAGGAGCCGCTAGTGGCGTCCTTGCTCCTAGCTTATTGTAGGGTGGGTTGAGACTTAAGTCAGATGTCCAGTATATGTGCAGATGGCCTAGACCAAACCAAGGAGCTGAGATCCTCGAGTTGCTCCAGACCTATGGGATCTGACAGGTCAATCCGAGGTGTCAAATCGCCCAGGGAAAGAAAAGGTGCCCTGGGGCGAAAATACATCAAGGCGCTTCCAACAGCTATTGGGTGCCCCAAAGACCAGAAGAACATACACCAGTGTACCCATTTTCATGGGAGGTCCCCCTATTCAAATACACACCCATATGAGTCCTCCAAGACCTTGTTCTGGTCGCCTCCACCCTATAGTCGCAATGGCCTCCAACCTAAGATCGATGGCCTCCAACCCAACCTATGACCCGGAAATACGCCCCAGAAACGCCAGTTGAAGTCTGAAGAACAGCCCTATAGAAACGTCATGGACCGACGTGCGACATCCGTGACGCTGCAGGCGCTGCGAGGCGCGGGGATCGTTTTTGGTTCAACTTGGATTTGGATGCCCGAAATGCTCCGTTCGTAGCGTCCTTGCTCCTAGTAGCGATGCCAGGAGCCCCTAGTAGCGTCCTTGCTCCTAATAGCGATGCCCTTTGCTCCGTTCGTAGCGTCCATGGATGATCCACACATTCAAGACGTTTTGTATGTGTTGTGCAAGTACAAGCAGTACCAGGAATGTCATAGCAGTTTGGGTGCCAGTGACCTCGAGGGTTAGTGGATTTCACTGGAGGAAACACAGAAATTTTGATCCAGGGAGTCCACAAAAAAATGGCTTCAAAGGATGTATTGCAGGTGTTTGGATGGTTATTGGATGGTCTTATTGGATGGTTTGAATGGATATTTGGATGGTTCGCAGGTGTTTACTTCCAGAGAGACCAGCTCAAAGTGATCCCAGGCTCTCGGCTGTTGCTCGAGCTGAGGTGACCTGCGCATCGATTGCCAGTACGGCGACCACGTGGTCGACACGTTGGGGCGTCACAGCGGTTGGGCAGCGAGGCAATGAACTAGATGGAATGAGTCATCCAGTTGGTGCGTCCTTTTTCAAGGGGTTGATATATTCGATTGATTTGAAGTGGTTTTTGGTAGGGGATGGCCCACGTTGAGTGTTGATGGCAGCTTTGTTTTTTTTGCAGATCGAACCACAAGGGCCGATTGAAGGAATCCGGCTTTCTCCTGCATTAGCTTCGGTGCAGGCTCCATGCCACCAGAAGCAAAGAAGGAAGTGGAGGGACCTCTCGATGCTGCCACTGCAGGGAAGCTTTTTGAGGAAACATGGGTTCCGTAAAGTTCTCATCATGTTCGAAGGTTCCCACACAAGAAATCGTTGGACGAACGCGAGCGGCGAGCCGCTCTTTGGTGACCAGTCGCGGTTCTTCCCACCTGCAATTCAACAAACCTACCAGTTTCATGGCCACCAGTCAGCTCACTTGCCGTGTCATCCAACACAACCTTTTCTGTTGCCATCCACCCAACCAGTCAACCAACCACCCTGCTCTGCCACTAAAAGCAAACGACAAATACTCGGCTGCGATCAAAGTGATCCAGCACCTTTTGGAAAAGACTGGCTCGAGGAACTCCATCCCTTCTCCATCCCTGATCACCTTCCTCACACTGGGGGTTCTTACGATAGGTCTTAAGGCTGGGTTTCATTGAGGGTGCTTTTTCTCGGGCTCCGTCCTAATAGCGATGGCCTCGAACCTAAGAGCGGGATATCCTATATTTTCAACCTTGCTTGGGATGATTGAATCATGAATCAATTGAATCCACCGACGCATCTATTCTTCGCAAGTGAAACCCACCATCACTCGCAGAGATACCTGTTACTCGACCGCCGGACGTGTCCGGCGTGCCATCCATCTTCCTCGGTGTCAGGTCCTCGTGCTACATGGTGTGCCTACCATCTCGACCCACCTCAGCTCGGTCTCCCGGTCACTGAGAGGAACACCCGGACAGTGGACACCCGGTCTCAATTCGACAAACGGCAAATACCTGGTGAAAACCAGTGGCGGAAACTGAGATGATTGCTTCTCCAGCCATATATCTATAAGGGCTTCCCCGATGAAACGCAGGTGCTATTGGTTGAACTAGTGCGGGGAACAAGCACTGCCTCGTCTAGCATCGTTCATGAAGCATCCTTCATGTGCACTCTTTTGAGGCTCCACAAGTTTCTCGTGCCTTTCCCATCCCAGACCCTGAAGTCGCCATCCGACTTCAACTCTCACGGAAAGCGCCTCCACCTGGTTCGAGTCACTTCTTCCGCTTCGGCAGAGACCGACCGCCCTCGACTGCCAGGTGATCTTTGCCGGGCAGACCACGGAGATTGCCACTCCGCAGGACTCGCGGGCACGGTGAAAGGTGCGCCCACGGAGTCTGACACATGACACAGGCCAGGCGTGTTCTGCCATCGCTTAGTAGGTTGGAGGGGTGTTTGGCACGGAGCGATTTGAGAGATGGTGAGGTGATGAGGTGAGAAGGCCACGAAGAGAAACCGGCCGTGCCTTTTGCTGGCCAGACGGGTCGCTCTGCCCCTGCTTCGACAGCGTAAAACTGATCCAAATTGCACGTGAAGAAACATCGCAGGACCGATGTCCTCAGTGCTTGAGGCATTTTCAGAGGGCATCCATGTGAGCTTTGGAAGTCTGACACATGGTCAGCATCACCAGCTGAGAATCACGAGGTGACACTTTCTTCGTACCGTTCCACATGGAGATCTGATGCACCACCGCGGTGCCGTTGACTTGGACATGGCTACTACAGCACCTGCCGTCTTGGCCCCCAAACCATAGCAGACCTTAGGGGCCATGGAGGATCGCTGTGATCCCTCGTACGGGGGGAAGCCCCTTAGGCCCTCGTCACCCTTATCCACTGGAAGATGTGAAGATCCATGTTTGCTTCCACCTGTAGATATGGTGATGGGCAGGATGAAAACACCACTCCACTTGAACATGCCTGGTGTGCACGGGTGAACATGCCTGCAGGCTAAACAGCTGTAGGTCATCCCGCCACTCCACTTCTGTGAGTTCCTTCCGTCGATGGAACTGGGGTTTGTTCGATTCCTTTCGAAAGAACGGTCTCTTCACAGTGGAGTCTGAGGAGCTCATGGAGGGCAAAGGTTTCTTCAAGCCCTGCAGTGACCTGGCCACGGGCTACGCGGGAAGTGCCCGGAGCCCGGGCGTTCTGCGAGTCCGCCGGCTGTTCAGTGATCGACCTTGTTGCCGTGGAAAAACGACACCCCCACCAAAGACGAGGCAATCAAGATGCAATTAGATCAATTAGCTCTATATGTTTTAGAATTAATTAGTATGAAGAGGAGTGTTTCAAAATGTTTTACCTTTGCAATCATTTGCATGCTTCTCTGTGAGCAAAAGTGATGGGCAAAGAGATTCCTCTATGATTTGCCTCGCCCCAAACCCGGTGCACGTTGCTGGAACTTAAGCAATCCGAATGATAGGCACCAATGATAACTTTAACCTAAATGCATTGTGCAACTGCATTGCTACGCCAAAATCCAGGCTCATTTGTGTGATCCTTGACAAGCACAGCCCGATGCCAGAAGAAACCAAGTGCATAGAACAAGTCCTGTGCCATTCCTGTACACTGTACACAAAGCTCACAAAGCACTGCAAGCCTCCAATCTGAGGTTCTGTGGGATTTTCATGTTGGTTTGCCCTCAAAACCATGATGTATTGCGTATTCAAATCTATGGGCAGGCATGCTGTCCATGGTTTGGAGAACTATTGAAAAACAAAACATTTACCGACTTGTCATGTAAAAACCGGACTTTGGCTGCGCAATCAAGTAGTATAGTGTCCGCTCCGCACCTGAGTTCTTCTTCATATCGCCAAGAAAACCCAGGCAGAAACAGAAGAACACCACATGCCACGATGACACCAGCTCGGGAGACATTCCGCGAGCCGGGTGGTTCTTTCCAGCTCCTTCCTTTGCAATTGTGCTGAGCAAATCGGTGGGTTCGGTGTCAGGTCTCAGCCACGTGCAACGCTGGCACGTTGGAAGTGGACGTCGCCATGTGTGAGTGGCGGCCTCAGCACGGCGAACGACGGACGGAGGAAGGTCACGTGAGTCGTCGTGAGTCGCGCTCAGGCAGTTGAAGGAGTTGGGGACCACACGTCGCTTCCAAGAAGGACAGAAGCCAGACACGACCTGTCGACTGGCATATGTGTACCTACATTGATCCCTTTGAAAAAAAAACAGCCCAAGGTATGTAACAACTATGACAGTCCCAGACAGGTCGGGTTTAGGTACTGAAGAACGTTCGTTCACCTCAATGGGATGATGTCAACGGCTGGTTTTTGTTAAGCCAGAGTCCGAAGACCGGCGTTCACCCAACAAATGCTCATGTTCAGTTCTGAAGCTGGACATCCCAAGTAGCCCAAAAAAGTCATGATTCCAAGGAGGACCGGGGCATCAACGACTACCTATAGTCCTCAACCCGGAGGTGACCCTCAGATCAGTGGGGCCTAGAACCGTGGGATCTGAGGAAGTAGATGTGAGAAAATTAGACCAAAATAGAAGCCTGGCTCAAGTCGTTTCTAGGCGGGGGATGGGAAAAATCCAAGCCTGGCTCAAGTTGTTTCTAGGCGAAGGATGGGAAAATCCAAGCCTGGCTCAAATCGTTTCTAGGCGAAGGATGGGAAACTCCAAGCCTGGCTCAAATCGTTTCTAGGCGAAGGATTGCAAACATGTAAGCCTGGCTCAAATGGTTTCTAGGGGAAGGATTGCAAAAATGTAAGCCTGGCTGAAATCGTTTCTAGCGGAAGGAGTGTGACATGTAAGCATGGTTCAAGTCGTCTCTAAGTGAAATATGTTAAAACATGCAAGCATAGCTCAAATTGTGCCTACACGAAGAATGGCAAACATGTAGGCCTTGCTCAAGTTGTCTCTAGGCGAAGGGTGGAAACAATGCAAGATTGGTTCAAGTCGTCTCTAGACAAAGGATGGAAAAATTGAAGGCTGTCTCAAGTCGTCTGTTGACTATAATAGTTTGTTTTCAACGTAGGCTTGGGTGTTTGTTTCGATTTGGAAATGTTTGAGAACTGATGCTTCAGACTTTCATCTTAAGCAGGCAGGGTTTCTCATGCAAAACATACAAAGAAGAAATTTCAATGGTATTTGTTCATCAGGTTTGTTCTTAGGAGCCCTGCAGGCGGCAGTCGCAATTTGTGCAGTTTCATTGCGCAGTGCTTTTGCATTTGCGGGCCTTCCTCGCCGGTGTGATTCAATGATGGCATGCTGTAGTTGACACATCATGCAAGAACAGGGGAACAAGGCACACACGCACACCACAAAACTGGCTTGCGCATAGAATAGTAGAATATATTATATTCAATTTATGATCAGTGAGTGTCAGCACGTTTCGGCCTCTCATGGTGATTGGAGGCTGGCTGGGCTGATCTGGTGTAATGTCAGGGAATTTTTTTTGAATGATGCTCATGGCCCTGATGCAAGGGTTACACAGTACAGAATGACAGGTGTGTCTATTTTTGAAACAGTGGCTTTTGGGGCTCAAGCTTGAACGTGTTCCTGCTTTAGGCCTCTTTGTAGATGTGTTGTGTTATTAGAGGTTGATTCAGATCGCGCATGGCCAAATCGTCTGAAAGTATTTCTTCAAGTTGGATTGAGATTGAAGAGACGCAGACAACGCAGACGCAGATCAGCCGCAAAAGGAAAGCCTTCATTTTGCCAGGGTTCTGCTCCTGGAGTTCGAAGGCCTTGGCAGAACTTTGTGGTGAGTTCTCTGTGCCAGTTCAAGGTTTGCGAAAAGACCAGCTGATCGACATCTTGTTTGAAATCGACAATGCTGCAACCTTTGGCGCAGAGTGCAAGTCATCGCCATTGGGATTTGAAGACCTCTTGGCAGTTTGCGTGAAAGCTCGTGTGAGATACTTTCGACAAAAGAAAGCTCTGTCCTCGGATCAGTTTCCAAGTTTTGAAGGTCTGTGGCATGATTTGACCTTTTTGAATTCTTCAAGTTCCCCAAAGACTAGCCAAGGCTTGCAGTAGTCAAATCAGGACGAAGTCCCATTGCCATAGACATGTAGCTAATATGCATTTGTTGCCAGGAGCATATGAGGTTCACCGTCGCCTTCTCGCGGAAGCGGAAAAATACCTGGTCAAATGAGAAAGGTATCACCAAGCTTTGCAAAACAGGTGTTTCTAGTTCGTGGCTTAAAATAGTTTTCAAACCTCAAGGTGTCCGAAAGTGCAATAAGCTTTGTATGCCGTCATTGGAATGCAGGCTCTCATGGCGAGCGCAACGTGTTCATTTTCGACCTGAATGAGGAGGCCATAGCCTCGACCTTTCTTCTGAGCAATCAAGGATCTTCTAGTGTCTGTCAGTGGTTTGTTTTTCTGTATTTGTGTCGTGATTGCAGAGCCAAGTCTGAATTGAATTGGAGACAGCTGACAGCGGATTCCCTTCTTTGTTGATGATGCAAGGATGGTAGAATGAGTGATAGTGTCATCTTGAAAGATTCTATGTCTGTTTAGGCGTGGCGTCAAGCAGTTTCCTGCTGTGGCAATGCTGGAGTCCGGGGCTTTCAGGGGGAAGCCATTGCCCAACTTGAATTGACATTCTTTCTCTGCCATTGCCAGCCATGTCACAGGTGGAAGGCATTTTAATAAGTATTGACGTGTTCAAAAACTATTTGATACATGATGGTTCAATCTTGTGTCAATTGGCCATGGATAGTAGTTCCAACCAAGGTGGGTGCCCTGCTTGTTGGATGTGGACTTCTTCTGCGTTGGCTACCTATTGCTTCTCCACAGCTAGCCCACAGATCGAATCATTGACCTTTGTCAAGGTGTGGATGTTGTGTGCATCTGGTAATTGACTAATGTTTAATAGACAACAAATTGGCTCCACTGACTTTGGCTGTCATATTTTCCAGCAGCTTCATGTGCAATGTGAAACACTCTTCACTGAGGCTGGGGGACGCAGCTACTGCAAGCACGCAGGACCCATCCGTCCAAGGGTTGCTTTCAATCGAAGGTTCAATTCAATGGCGCTGACGTGTAATATTGGAGCTGACTGAAATAAGTTTGTTTTTAACTGCTGCTGTTTGGGCTGCAGTTCGGTTTGTGTCAGATAGCCAGATAGCCTTACTGTGTCAATTTGACTTTGTGAGCCAAGCCATGATGGACATGGGGACTCCGTTTGAGATCGTACAGGCAATTCAGGAGATCGAACATGGTTTGGCCAAGGGGGACGTGTCAACCGAGGTGGCCACTGTCATGTGGAAAGCTGTTGGTTTTAGCCTCGATGAGCATCATCAACTCCAGGATGAGTATCTTGACCACAAACATAAGAGGTGGCCTTAACACATGGTTTTAAGTTTAATGAACTACAACCAATCTTTTGCAAGGAAGTTAACGATTGTTTCACAGGAATTTATTGCCGAGGTAGCAGTGTTGCGCAGTGGTATATGCATTTGTGTAAATAAATGCCTTTGTGATGGCTCGAAGGGTGGTGTGGCTTGTGATGGCACAAGGGTTTGTATTTTTTCTACATTTATATCAACTAGGGATGCCTGTGTGATGATGTATTTACAGTCTGTCATTCATTCATACAGTCCCATTGCATTTTGGCCACCTGGCTGTTGAGGTACTTGCAAGCGCGCCCAAATGGAGATGGCAGGCATGGAGGGCCATCAGCAGGATTTTTGGTTGACCTTGACAAAGTGAAGTTTTCCTTGGCCTTGACGATCCATGGCTCTTCATTTGTTTTGTTTTAGCATTGTTGGATTACAAGCTTTGATAGTATAGCGCCTTTACGTTTGCAAGACAGATTGGCAGTTGTAGGACTTGAGAATTGAACTTCCCTTCTGCCAACTGCACTGAGGGAAGCCAACGAGGCCTTGTTACAGGCCATCAATGAGGCTGTCGACGGCGTACTCAAGGCTGGTGATAGTGAGGAAGCTGCAGTAGCTGCCGCTCGTGTTTGCAACAGCCGGTACATGCAGACCACCGGATGGTACTTTGGGTGCTATTTCAACTGGCGTGGGAAAGATGTACAAGTCCAGCATTCACACAAGGAACCTTTGTTGGCCAATAGACCGCAGGTGATAGCAGGTGGTATATTCAATCCTTGTTATGATGTAATTTTTGTTTGTCAAAGTAGTTTGATTCTAGAACTATGTGCATAGCGGGAAGTCGTCTGGAGCATTGGCTGCAACATTGGCCAGATCAGCTCACAGCTCAGGAAGATGGTCCCTTCTACATTTTCAAAGTGGAGTCCGCCGATGCTGCGAGTGAATCGTGGGGCGTAGCCTTTCTGGCAACTGCCCTTTTTGTCAAGCCGCGAGCAAAGTGAATTGGACAATTCACTTAATTAGAGGTAATGACATGAATCAACAACAGTTTTCTTGGGAACTGTCAGTGATCTGTCTGGCAAGCTGTCAGTGGTAAATTCTGGCAGATTATGTTTAGACGGTACATCAAACTGTGACCTAACAGAGTGGGTTGTCAAAATGAATTTGTGCCGAGTTGAAGTCCACTTGATTCGTTTTTGTCTTATAGTACTGGCTTTGGTCTTTGAGTTTGCAGTGCATCGCAAGCGTATTAATACAGTATCAGTAGAAAAACGCAGTTGATGAACACCGTGGCAGGATACCACAGACGCTATACCTTTGTGGTTTCTTCGCGGTCTGCCACTCAACTCAACAACAGCTGTCAACCAATTAACTGACACCCCATTCTGACTTAGTCTTTGACCACGTGATAATGCTGTGACCGAACAGCTTTGTTTACTTACTTACCAACGCTGTTGATGGCATGAGTTTTTATTTGTTGCTTGATTGGTGCAATCCCTTGAGGTCTGGGAGCTTTTCATTTCAGCGCTTCTACACGCTTTGCCGATGGAGGTGCAATTACTGCGGTTTTACCACTTGGATTGGCTTGCAAATCTGACCCCCACAAGTCCGGCTGAAATGCAGGTTTTGGAGGGGGAAAGCCGGACTTGTGGGGGTCAGATTTGCAAGCCAATCCAAGTGGTGTTCCCCTTGTGCTTGATGCAGATTTGTAGAACTTACAGGAAAAAGAGATGAGATGTTAAAAACTAAAGAACTGAATTTCAATTCATTCACAGCTTGGCTCCAACACCTTTAATAACACCTCTCCGTCGGAAGTGTTCGCTTGTTTTCAAGTTAAACTGTATTTGGGAAGCAAGCTTGAGCATACTACGGCCAAAAACAAGAGTAAATAAGGGCATCCAAAGCAGAAGCATTCATGTATTTAGTCAGCTGGAAAACTGTGTGGCGGACAAGTTGCTGTTTGATTGTGTACTGACTGTGTGGCGCGTGACGGCAGGACCCGATGAGGGCCTGGACAAGTTCGCCCTGGCCCTTCCGAAAGTCGTATAGGGTCTAGACCTCAATTGACTGTACTATATTTATGTTGCTCTTGGACTTTGAAGCGGAATGAACTGTTGAGCCAAATGCTGGCCATCCATATCCTTTCGATGTGATTCAATTCAATTGCACGACTACAATGTCGGTCAGTCAGGTGCTGCATAGCAACTTGCTTCATGTGCCACTGATTCTGTACGAAGGTTTCTCTTGCAGCTGTTGAACTAACATCCAGTGGAGGCCCTTCACTCAGATCATTATTCAGCAACCAGTCTACTAATTACAGTCAATTACAGACAGAAGCTTTCACGTAGTAAGCTGGAAATCTGTGTGGCGGACAAGTTGTTCTTTGATTGACTGTGTACTGTGTTGCTTGATGGCAGGACCCGATGAAGACCTGGACAAGTTCGCCCTGGCTCTTGGAACGTCGTATAGGGTCTAGACCTCAATTGTCAGTCAATGACTAGTGTCCTGATTTATTGTGTTCTTGGAAACTGAGTGCTGAATCGTTGGGCCAAATGTTGGCTGTCCACATCCTTTTGAGTTTGATTCAATAGTCCTGCAACTTAATCATTTCGACTTTCTTCATGTGCCACAGTGTCTGTACAAAGGTGTCTCTTGCAGCTGTTGAACTAACATCCATTGGAGGCCTTTCACTCAGTAGTAATTCTTCAGCTTCAGCAAGTTTGTACAATTTTAATAATGCAGTCCGGCTATCATTTGTTTAGGATTCTCAAAAAAGGCTGGGCGTCAGACAATCCAAGCAAACAAACCTGTTAAATTGTGGTCAAGGTCACTGTTTGTTTACTTAAAAGGCCACATCGCATGATATGGTAAACTAAGATGAGTTGATCAGTTGATTTCATCATCAGCTGTTCTTAATTGGGGATGTCTCAAAATGATGTGCCCTTTTTACTTCCGTTCAAGTCCTTGCTCCATACGAAAAAGGGCACCGTCATTCTGAAACATCCCCAATGGTCACAGTTGGTCACAGCTCGGCAGAATGTCATGTCCATTCAGGCCTGGTGGCTGCGCTTTATGCTGCTCTGCCCCCCCCCGTGGTAAAGCAGGCCAGGGTCAGTGCTTTTTATTTGCGCCCCGGAAATGTTGGGTCAATGCTTGCACTTTCTGGTGCTTGATATCTGATAGATGAGTAAGAAAGGTTTGTGAGTTTCAGTTTGGATGTATTCTAGTTGTCATGGTGTCATGGTGCTGCTCATTGGGCATCTGGTGCAAACATTGGCCCCCAAATTGGAGCCCTCCAAGCGAGGTCAAGAGAGAGGTTTCAATGTCGATGCCAAAGACGATTCCTTGCATTCAGTCTGTCCCTGTCGTGTGAACCATTTGCAAGTTGATTCAATGTTAGGTGATGTGTTTGTACGGCCATTGCTAGATAATTCCAACATTAATAATTAGCACAGTGTCTTACTGGTTGAATGTCTCACGCTTTGGCGCTGGAAAGGGTTGTCCTTGCCCAGGCTTCCTACTTGCAGGGGCAAAGCATGGTGTGGCCAGAGGAGGCGAATGTGTTTGTGATGCTTTAGCACTCACCAGCATTCACTAGGCGGTTTTGTTTTGACTAAGGATGAGCCATTTTCACTTAGAGTGTCAGGTCAACCAGTCAGCAGGATCATGTTAGTCCACTGATCAATTTCCGAT